TCCTTTCTCCTTTCCTTTCTCCTTTCCTTTCTCCTTTCCTTTCTCCTTTCCTCTCCTTTCCTCTCCTTTCCTCTCCTTTCCTCTCCTTTCCTCTCCTTTCCTTTCCTTTCCTTTCCTTTCCTTTCCTTTCCTTTCCTTCTTTCCTTTTGCGACAGGATTTCACTCTGTTGCTCAGGCTGAAGTGCAGTGGTGGCATGATTATAGCTCACTGCAGCCTCCAACTCCTGGGCTCAAGTGATCCTCCTGCCTCAGCCTCCCAAGTAGCTGGGACTACAGGTGCATGCCACCGTGCCTGGCTAATTTATTTTTATTTTTATTTTTTGTGAGGATGAGATCTTGCTGTGTTTCCCAGGCTGGTCTCAAACTCCTGGCTTCAAGTAATCCTCCCACCCTGGCCTCCCAAGGTGCTGGGATTACAGGCCTGAGCCACTGCACCTGGCCTGTGTCTTTTTTTTTTTAACTCAGAATCACTGCAGCAATGGTCTGCAGTTGGCACTGGTGCAAGGCTTTTCCAGTTTTATCCTGTGGCACTTCTCTGAGTGCCAGAAACAATGTGATTGTGTGTATTCCTTGTGTGATACCTAATCGGGGAAAAATTATAAAGAAATTTAAATTGTTCACAGTCTTTCAGGGCTGCTCATTTGAGTCATGTAACACTATCAGGAAATATTCTGTGTTCAGTAGTTGCCTTCTCTTTGCTGATTATGCCACCATAGTACTTACTACTAAAGCATATGCTTCAGTAGGTAAAAAAAAACAACAAAATAAACCAACCATAATTTTGTGAAAGCTACTGATGTGCCTTTGAAAATGAGAAAGTTTTAATAAGTAAAATGATTTTTTAAATAATAGCAACTGCCTACAATCTTTATTTCCCAAAGTTGGTGACCTTGTGCCACACCATCGCCGGACTTTTCTGTCAGTGTGAGCTAACTCTGGCAATGGTTGGGATTCATCTCTGAAGCTAAAATTTAATTCCCGTGTGCCAGACATCTTCGCTCTATTAATTGACTATGGACTGAGCCAGCCTCTTGCACCAGTGTCCTTGCCTGGGTTCGCCTGAGAGCAGAGCCTGAAACCAGCATGACTGTGCAGGTAGATAGTTTATTTGGGAATGAGATTCCAGGGGGAGAAGAATAGGAGGGAGACCAAATCCAAGGATGCATTGCCAGTTTGGTCAATGCCAAGGGCAGGAGTGCTCCGTCCAGCAGGAGCTTCTGAGGCGGCGTATGAAATGCATCTCAAAGCCATCGGCCCCATGGATGGAAGGGGGAAGCATTTCTCTGTTGGTGCCACTCATCAGTCATAGCCACACAGGTGCCACTTCCCACATTTCCAGGTTGCAAGTGCATTAGTCCCAAATATGTGCAATTCCCTGGGCAGAAAGCAAGAGGTGATGCATCGTAGGCCCGAAGTGACGGTTGCTGGATCCTGTGTGGACTAGTCACTGCAGCCATGGTGGGGCTAAGAGGATAGGGGGTGCACAAGAGGTGTCTGATCTCTGTATACATTTGTCATGGGGCATTTGGGACGAGAAGGTGTGGATGGACCTGGGTGAGAAGCTCCAGTGTTGGATAGACAACTCAAGGGCATGTTGTGTAACAAAACAAGCAGCTGCAAACTCAGGTGGGAAGGAAGGCAGCTCATCTTCTGGAACACTGCTGGCCTCTCCACTCTCCTGAGACCTGGTTCTGTGCTGAGTTCCTAATTAGCTGACTTCCCTGGTACTCCAGAATCGGAGCTGTAGTCCTCCCTGCCATTCTCCTATTGCATGAATGAACAGTTTCTGCGTTTTCTCTCTTTTCAATGCCATTGATTCCAGTCATTTGTGGCCTTCTGAGGACAAAAGCGATAATTACCTGAATGTTTAGAGCTCTTCCTGTGGTAGGGCAACAGCCCAAGTCACTGCTCCTAGAGTTGAGCCAAGGGTCTGAAAATCCAGGCCCTCTGTCCGAGTCTCCTGGACGTGTGTGTACCTTGTTTCCATCAGCGCTGTGTCTTGGGAAGACGAACTCAGTTTTCTAGACCAGGGATCCCTCCTGTCAGGGATAGGAGTGTGCATAAACTGAGGTCACAGGGGCAGAGTTGGTGAGTGATGAGGTACTCAATAGCTGTAATAACTAGAAACCCATGGACCCACAGAAATATGAAGAGCAAAGAAGAGGTGGAGAAACAACTCAGAGTTTTGTTTTTGTTTTTGTTTTTTTTAAAGTTCTGTGTCCCAGATCAAAGTAAAGGCAAGATCTACCCAATAATCTTTCCTATTCTTGGCAGCTAGTTCCTATCTCCATCAGGGTAGCCTGAACACTCTTTGTGGATTCCATAAGGGCTGCTGTTTGCCAGTGAGAATTATTCTGTGTAATACCTGGTCTAGGAGATGGTGAATGAGGTGGGCAGAGGACCCTGTTCTCTGCCAGGTAGTAAGTAGCAAAACAAAACTTTCTTCTAGGTGTTTGCCTATTAATTGCTTTTCCTCAAGGGCTTTTAGACTGGTAGAGGCTTGATGCAAAACATTAGCAACACCTTGTGTTGTGTGCTATTGCTATAAAAGCACTTTGGGGAAAATACATCAATTTTCTCATCTAATCCTCATAAAAAAAACTCCATGGGATTGATAGAGGATGCTCAGGATGGCAGAGTTAGAGGTTTCTCAGAGAACTCGTATGTCTTCTGGGAGCTTTCAGGCGGACCCATGCCTAAAAGTCTCACCTGCTGGAGAAGGGGCCTGATCTCAGAGACAGAGTTTTGTAAGAAGTTGCCGAGAGACCCTGTGACATCATTTCTCTCTTGGGCCAGCCAGAGAGCAGCAGCGAGGCACCTGACTGACTCTTTTTTTCCCCATTTATTTATTTTTGTAGAGATGGGGATCTCACCATGTTGCCCAGACTGGTCTTGAACTCCTGGCCTCAAGCAATTCTCCCACCTAAGCCTCCAAAAGTGCTGGGATTACAGGTGCTGACTCTTTACCCCAGAAGTCTCACAGAAAACTTATCATGGATATGTAGAGGCGGGGTAGGAGCATGCTCTACACCTTGAGGACAGACTGCTGAACGTATGCAGTGGTATCAATATTTCACATGGCTAGTCTGCTAAAGAGATTTGAAACATTTAATGCTCCATGTACTTTTGATTATGAACAAAATAGTTCTGAAAATGCCAAATGTCCTCAAACAATTACCCTCCCCCATACCAAAAAAATGAGCACAAAAAAAGCAAAAATCTACACATTTTTTTCACCAAAACTAACCAAACAAGAAAGCAGTGCAACATAATGTATATCAAAAATTGGTGAAAGGGGAAGAAATGAAGACTTTAACCCTGCCCCTAATCTCTTGAACCATATTAAAAAGTCATCAACATCTGGAAGAGTCTCTCTAATACTCCCAAATCTAGCAGACAGCAGACTAGTTAAAGGCCTCTATTTATTTACCTCTTCAAAGAATTTTGGAAACTACTCTAGAGCACGTATAGATGAAGTAGAGAAAATGGAGATTGGGGATGACTCTGAAATAAGTGAGATCTGCCCAGTAAAAAAATGCTAAACGAATCCTTCAGGCTGAAATGACACTAAGACAGTAACTTGAATCTATATGAAGGAATAATGAACAAGGGTAAAGGTGTCTACCTAAGTAATTATAAAGATGGTATTAATGTATTTTCTTAATTCTATTTCCTATATAATTTAAAAAACACCTGCATAAAGTAATAATTATAAATTTAGGTTAATGGGCATACAATGTATCAAGATGTAATTTGTGATAAGACAATAAAAGAGGGTGGAGCTAAATAAGAGCAAAGTTTTGACTTGGTATTAATCTAAACCAGATTGTTATAAATTAATATGAATTATAATCTCCAAGGCAACCATTAAGAAAATAAATCAAAAATATGTAGTAAAAAAATTGATACAGACTTAAAATGATACTTAGAAAATACGCATTTAACAAAAGAAAGCAGTAATGGAGGAATTAAGGAACAAAAGAGATAAAAGACAACAAGTAGCAAACTAGCAGAAGTAAGCCCTTATCAGTAATTATATTAAATATGAATGTAACTTCTTCAATTAAAAGGCAGAAATTGGCAGAATAGATAAAAAACATAATCCAACTATTATGTCTACAAGAGTTAGATTCAAAGAGAAAAATAGGTTGAAAATAAAAAGATGGGAAAAGATATTCCATGCAAATAATAACCAAAAGAGTTTGAATGTCTATACTAATATCATATAAATAGACTTTAACACATCTACAAAAGGCAACCTGGATTTGGCTTTATCTTCTTGTGTCTCTTCCTCGCTTTGCCCGACCTTCATTTTCCCATACATAGTTTTTATGCAGCAGCACATTTAGCTCTACTGTGCTCTCATAATCATTGTCCTATAACGAGGAAGAGGCTCCAAGGCTTGCCTTTGATTTTTTTTTTTTTTCCCCTTCATACTATGGACCAAAAGCATTATTTCTTGAA